GTATAAAACCATAGAAGGGTAATTTTGATAGAAATTGCCAAATTGCCCTGTGGACCAGTTGCATTAATCTTTACTCTAACCAGCAACCTATAAGAGCAAACCTGTGTTCCACACTCTCACCAACATAGTGTGGTACCAAATGTTCTTCATTTCTGCTATTTTGAGAGGTGAAGTTTTAATCTGCATTTGTCCTATTATGAGTATGATTAAATATCTAAAAATATGTTTAAGAACCATTTGTATTTCCTTTTCTGTGAACAGTCAGTTCTCTTGTATTAGTCAGCTTCTTCTAATTTTCACCAAAATACCCATGAGGAACAACTTAGGAGGGAAGAAGGCTTATTTTTGGCTTACAGTTTGGAAAGTCACCACGCAAGATCCGGCAGCCCCATTAGTCTGGCTTCTGGTGGAGACTGGCAGTAGTGAAGCGTGTTCAGAGGTGCCATCAGATGGCATAGGAACAACACTCTTCCTTTACGCTCTATGTGGTCTCTCCTTATAAAGCCATCATAGTTTGATCCTGGGGCTGTACCCTACCAACCTAATATAATCCAATCCCTCCCAAAGGCCCCATGTTTAGATGCTATATGACTAAGCCTCCACCTGAATCCATCAACCTTTAAGGATTAATCCATTAATCATTAACATAAGACTCTGGGATTTGAACATCTGCATGATTTTGAGGGTGTCAAATACCATTCAATTAATCACCTTGCCCATTTCTCTGATGGTTCTTTGTAAATTGGGTTAGTAAGAGATAAAGAGCATTGGTTACTGGAAAGGTCTGGGTCTTATAGTTGGTGGGCCAATGTTCAAATTCTGGTTTAGCATTTTATGGGTTACAGAAATACTTGCAGGCTTTTGTTTCCTTATCTTTGAACTGATGATGGCAATACTTGTATCTATGTGGGGCTGTAAGGAAGATTAAAACTTATGTCGTATACCAAGTACAATACCTAGCCTTTAGCAGGGACTCAGTAAATTAGAATGTACTTTGTTTCTTCTCCCATGATCCATGGTTTTATAAAGATTACAGTATTTTCCATATTCCTAAGAAGTCATATATAATTTCTTAAAAAAAAGAAAAAACACACATGAAGAAGAAACAGAGGGTGGGAAAAGAAGTCGTGTTTTATCTTTAGAAGATCAGGGAATATTAATCTTATTGTATGATTCTCCACACTTGGCCGTCTTAGTGCTTTTCTGAGTTCTTGCCTAGCATACGTCTACAGTCCGTCTTCCGTGGAAGTGATCAGGGAATACCAGCTGATTGTAATATTAGCATTAGCAAACATCATGCCGAAGTAAATCTGCTGTGCCCAGATGCACATTACTCATTACCAAGTCAATATGTGATGTGACTTTAATAAGTCATTTCCTGCTGGGCATTGTTTGAAGGTTTATCAGGGCTTTGCATAGGATCCTATAGTCAGCTCTCCAGAAAGTTGAACTGACTGGGTGCATCATTTCTTTTTGCTAGTAAGGCAGCAAAAATATCATCTGCTAGACTCTTCTCTGGGCAGACTTGTGCTACTCCTCTCTATAGCACCAGTGCCTGGCTAGGTGTGAGGCATGTTGAAAAGCCTGGATCAAAATGAATCATTGGCGGCCAGTGTTCCCATGCAGTGGGTTAAGCCACTGTTTGCAATGCTGCAATCCAATATAAGAGAACTTGTTAGAGTCCCAGCTGCTCTGCTTCTGATCCAGCTTCCTGCTAATGCACTTGGGAAGGTAGTAGAAGATGGCTGAAGTGCTTGAGCTCCTGTTACTCACATGGCAGCCCTGAGTGTGGCAGGCATTTGGGGAATGAAACAATGGATGGTTCTCTGTCTCTTATTTCTCTCTGATGCTCTACCTTAAAAAAAAAAAAAGAATCATTGATTGAGATATGTACTTTTGAAATTGCATGTGAATCAAGGCTGAATCCTTGGAGAACTGGAAATACCACTGACTTTTCAAAAGAAGCTTAATGCACTCACTCTTGGCTCTGCACCCATTTATTTTGCTGGAGGTATCTATGGAGTTTTGGTTTCTAAGTTTCTTTTAGTTCCCAACATACTATTTTGATTTTTATTTCAAAGTTCCTTTTTCTTGACAGACCAAATGTGATATGCTGTATATCCATTTCAAATAAAAGTAAGTGTAAGTCTGTTTTTGAGTTCCTTACTATCTCGTGAGATGAATTGCTGAGAGACTGGAGAGCACTGTGAAACCGTGCTAGGCAAGCCACACTCTGGAGATTCCAGGATGTACTGTTTTAATAGTTTCCAGGACAGGTGAATGCTGAGGGAATGTCCTCATCTTTTTCCCTCTTTCTGACCTTGCAAATCTCAGTTGTGTTCTCCACAGGCCCAGGTTGCAGTTCACTGTGAGTCAACATGGCATATGCTTCAGCATGGAGTTCTTTCAGAATGAGAAATTCTCACAAGCCCTCACTTTGGCTTGCTGAAATCAGGGGGTCTCACCTTGGCAATTCACTTCAGAGAAAGCGTACAGATTACCAGCAGGGTCTGCATTTTGGCCTCTGGCCATTTGTCTCTTTGCCTATGGAGAAGCTCTCTCCCACTGCTTGGAAAGCCATTAAAAATCACTCCCACTTTGCTCACTCCCAGTGCCCTGCTGCCAAGCCTGTGTGAGCCCTGCCGTGTCTCCTCTTGGAGGCTGTCACCCTCAGCTTTCCCATGTCTGGGATGGCTATGAGAACAAACACTCCAGTATCCTCGTATGTGTGAACATATTTTAGCCTTAGGGATTTTCTTTCAAACATGGAAAAAAGGTCGACTATGTATAATACATCGCTGCGAGGGCTCGGAACCTGGAGAGGGGCCCTGAGGTGTCAGGTGAGACTGCAGACTGCGTGTTGCTCCTGAGACTCGCTATTCACTTGGCAGACCCACTCCCCCACCTTACTCCTGCACCATTTTTGTCCTGATGTCTTCTTCAGGGAATATGCAATGATGGGAGCAAAGGCAACCCATCCTGATTCGATCTGTCACTTGCTAATGGATCTGGTAAAGGCAGCAACCAGTTTGTGGTTCAGCAACAAGACTCACCTGTTCCTGAGACTTGTAAGCCTGGTGGTTGAGAGTTAACAATATGCAATGCTGCAAATTTAAACACCAAGGAGACACTTAGTATTGCTTCTGGGCTTGAACATACCCTTAGGGATGGGAACCAGCTAACATAGCAGAAACTCACACAGGTAAAAGCTTGCCAAGAATGGGGAGAGTGACTCAGCAGTGGCCCAGAAGCCAGATGCCAAACCACAGAGGCCTGGATTATTAGTCTCAGAGAGGATTATTTGAGGGGGTTCTGGAAGCTACAGAGACTGAGGTAAGGATGAGACGATTCAGGTTGACAACAAGCGCTCCACTATGTCCCTCCTGCTAACTGCAGTTTCAGAATCAGACACAGCTCCCTGACATGTGCACGTATTTGCATGTTGTATGTGTAGCACTCAACTGCTACACAGCTAAAACTGTTCTGTTCCTTTGTGGAACTTGTTGGCTGAATGATCTGAATTAGGTAGAATGCAATCAAGTAAGAGCTCCAGCTTTCCTGCTGCTGCCTATAAACTCTTGGGGAGACCTTGACGCAGAGCCTCTTGACTGCATCTAGGATAGACATAGTTCTTTGGTCTCTTGTCACCATACTGAAATCTCTCATTACTTACAGTAGCTTTTCAACATTTTCTCTTGTGTTTTCCAAATATTCCTCATATCAGTGAAAATAGAGGTTTATGTTTTTCCTGTGTAACTTTCATACTTTTAATCTCATTTTCTTTTCAAAGTGTCAACTTTGGGATGATGTAAAATATGAATAGCAACAGTGGGTTTCCTTGTGATTTTTAAAAGCATGGCAGACACTATCATGAAGTTTTTTTTCTAAAGATTTTATTTTACTTGAGGGGTAGAATTACAGACAGTGAGAGGGAGAGACAAAAAGGTTTTCTGTCCGTTGGTTCACTCCCCAGATGGCTGCAATGGCCAGAGCTATGCCCATCCAAAGCCAGGAGCCAGGTGCTTCTTCTCGGGCTACCATGCTGGTGCAGGGGCCCAACTTTTTGGGCCATCTTCTACTTTCCCAGGCCATAGCAGAGAATTGGATTGGAAGAGGAGCAGCCGGGACTAGAACTGATGCCCATATGGGATGCTGGCACCGCAGGCAGAGGATTAACCTACTGTGCCACAGTGCCGGCCCTTATCATGAGGTTTTGGTCAAGATGTTGGCCAGGGCTGTGGTCAACTGAAGGCTTTACTGGCCCTAGAGGATGGATCTGCTTCCAAAGTGGCTCACACCCCCGGCTCAGTGAGTTGGTGTTGGCTGTTGGCACGAAGTCTCATTCCTCACTGCACCGACCTCTTCACGGGACTGCTTGAGTGTCGTCTGGATTCAGCAACTGGCTTCTGCCATGGTGGGAATACAAGACAATGCAAAGTGGAAACTGCACTGTCTTTTATGAAGTCACACGTACTTTTACAGCATCCTTTCGGTGGCATGGATGAGGCCTAGTCATGGTGGTGGGGGCTAAATAGGGATGACTACCAGAAGGCAAGAATTATGGGGCGTGATCAGGGAGGCTGGTTACTGCAGTCTGTGCTCTGGTCCTCCGTGACTCACATCCCTCGCACTTGTGAAACAGACTTACTCATTCACAAAGCTGCCCCGAAATTTCATCTCATTACAGCATCAGCTTTAAGTCCAGGGTCTCCCCACCCAATTCAGATCCAGGGGCAGATGAGGCTCTACAGGTATAGGTCCTTCAGTGTATCTTTTCAAGTACGGCTCCTCCCAATCTGCAGGCCCACTCAGTAAAGGGGAAATTTATCCGCCCTTCCCATACCTGACACATGATGATGGGAGAGGCATTAAATGACTGCTACAGATTTCCCAATTCAAAAGTGGGGGAAAGAGGAGGCATCACTTCACAGCAATTCTAAAACCCAGCCAGGTAAATGTCAGAATCTCCTTAATGAGGACTCAGATCTACTCTTTCCTAGAATGACTCTCCATGTGTTTTGGAAAAACCTGGTGTACAAGAACTGGCTGCCAAAGCTGGAAGAGATGCAGAGACCAAAAAAGGAGGACAAATGTAAGATTACAAAGAATGTGTTTTTTTGGAGGGACTCATGGGGGGAAGCTTGATCTTGGGTGAACCTCTGCATTGTGAGGCGAGAGCAGAAGAATTTTATAGACAAAAATGGCTAATCAGAATGCCCCTGGAATTTTTAAAGAAACATTAACATTTCAGGCACTAGATAAGGGATATTCCAGGGCTTGCTTGGCAAGACAAGCCTAGCAGGTTATCTTAATGGCATTGTTTACTCTTTCATAGGGATTGGAATGCTGTCAGGGTTACCTAATGGGCAAGATGGCTGCTGCATCCAAGATGGGTGCATTTGTGTTAAGCTGAATCCCATACACCATGCTTCTTGGATCCACCCTCTGAGGTTTTGATTTTACCTTCAGATCCTTCCTTCCTGTTGCATTAAAAGAAACTCATGTTTTACAGGTGATACAGCCTTTCTGCCTATGAAAATTTTGGTATCTGAAGGCGTCTTTCCATTTTGCACAGTTCCAATGCATTCAATCCAACCTGATAAGAGTTTCTGCCTATAATATATATTTTTATTTTAAACTTTGTAGGTTATCTGAAAATGCATTGTAGGTGAGGTTTGCTTCAACAGACAAAAGCCGTGCTAATAAATTTCTCTAAAATAAACCATTTTCCACTTTGGGCTTTTGTTGAAACTGCTAAAGGACAATGCCCTTAAGCTTCTTATAAGCTGTGTAGTTTTATGAAATATTTTCTTAATCATGAAAATAGGATTTTGCAGTGATTACCACGGCTTGCTTTAGACGGTGTTTTCCTGGAAGAGCCCTGGATTCAGTCTTTGCCTGGAAGCCATTTTACAATTTCAGCATTGCCTGTCATCTGGAAAATTTCAGAACCAGAAAGTCTGGACTCTTTCTTTGTTTTACAGTCCTTCCCTGAGCTTATCTTTCCTCAAACATATTGCTATAAGCAGCGAGAACACAAGCAGCTCTTTCATCAGTGCCTGGAAATCCCCTTGGTCAGATTCCCCCAATTCATTATATATACACAGACCCTTTTTTCCATATTTGTTCCATGTGACCATGTTGCTAAATCCTCTATCACCATCTCACAAGGTCTCGTATCTTCTGGTTCCTGAAACTGTTTTCCAGATATTCCACTGAGCCCTCTCCAGCAGCATCCCTGAAGGTCATCAGGTTTCACTAACATTTTCTTCAGCACGGTTTGTATTTTTACATCTCAAAGTCATTCCTTTTCCAGGTTGTGAAATCCCTCCCACATATAAGGCTTATGCTAGGATAGCACCCCACTTCTGGTACCAAATTAATTATTAGTTTTCTACGTACAACAAGAAGTTTTGCACAGACTAAAATGTTTAAAGCAATATGCACGCATTCCTCCCACCCCTGCCATGGGCAAATAGTTTAGTGATTTTGTCAGTCTCTCTGAGGTTACAGTCAAGATGTTAGCTAAGGTTGTAGTCATCTAAAAAATTTGTCCAAGTTGAGAGGATTCACTTCCACAGTGACAAACTCAAACACCTGGCAAAGTAGTGCTCTTCATTGGCAAAAGGTCTCCATTCCTCACTGTGGCCCTCCCTGTAGGTTTGCTTGAGTCCTTGTGACAAACCAGCTGTCTTCTCTCATAATGAATATTCCAAAGAGCAAAGTAGACACTGCAATGTCTCTATGATGGACCTCGCCAAGCAAGTTCTACTCTATTATTTCTCATGCATCTTATTGGTTACACAGGTCAGCTCTGTTTATGGTGTGAGGGGACAGCACAGGGCCATGAATATCAAGAGGCAAATCACCGGGGGGGGGGTGTCATCCTAGAGGCTGGTTGCCACAATGACCAGAACCAGAAAGATAAATATGATAGCTCCCTGAACTAATGTGTTTGATCTTTAATGGTAAGCTGAATGAGAGAAAAGATTCAAAAACTGTTACTGCAATAAACTTTAGTTATTTTAAGATTTATTTTATTTATTTGAAAGAGTTCCAGAGAGAGGTAGACAGAGAGAAAGGTCTTCCATCTTCTGGTTCACTCCCCAGATGGCCTCAATGGCCATAACTGCACCACCACCTGTGACACCAGCATCTGGTTCGTTTCCCAGCTGCTCCACTTCTGATCCAGCTCCCTGTTAATGGTCTGGGAAAGCAGTGGAAGATGACCCAAATGCTTGGGCTCCTGCACTCACATGAAAGATCCAGATGAAGCTCCTGGCTCAGCCCTGGCCATTGTGGCCATCTGGGGAGTGAACCAGCAGATGGAACATCTCTCTTTCTCTGTCACTATCTCTCTATAACTCTGCCTTTCAAAGAAATAAATAGGGGCCAGTGCTGTTGTGCAGCGGGTTAAGCCATTGTTTATAGTGTTGGCCTCCCATATGGGTACAGTTTCAAGTCTTGGCTGCTCTACTTCTGATCCAGTTCCCTGTTAACTTGCCTGGGAAAGTATTGGAAGATAGTCCAAGTCCCTGGGCCCTGCCCCATCATGGGAGACCCTGAGGAAGCACCTCACTCCTGGCTTCTGCCTGGACTAGCCCCAGCTGTTGTGACAATTTGGGGAGTGAACCAGTGGATGGAAGATTTCTTTCTGTCTCTCCTTCTCTCTCTAACTCTCCTTTAAAACAAAGCAAACAACAAATAAATCCTTATTTTAAAAATATGTAGATCTTGTAATTTCCTCTTAGTTAAAAATTAAAGTGAAAGCATGGACATTTGTTGTGACAGTTAAGATGTGCCTTGGGACACCTGCATCCCATTTTTGGTGCCTGGGTTCAAGTCCTGGCTCTGCTTCAGATTCCAGTTTCCTGCTAATGTGCACCTGAGAGTCAACAAGTGATGGCTCAAATACTTGGTCCCTAAGACCTGGGTTAAGTTTCTGGCTCTTGGCTTTAGTCTGGCCCAGCCCTGGCTTCTGGGGAGTAAACTTGTAGATGAAAAATCTTTCTCTCTCTAATTTTCAAATTAAAAAGCAAAATGAATTCGTTAATTAAAAAATTGAAATGAGATTTCTATAGCCTTCAAACAATCTAATCAGAATTTTAAATCCAATTTGGCAACTGATGACTTATCTCACCTTTTAAGATAATCATATTGCCAAATTTTAAATTGTATAGCACAGATGGAATATGTGTGCGTGCATACATGAATGCATTTGATGGGAAAGGGAGAAAAGACTCCTTTTAAGATCCTTCTGGAGAATTATTACTTAGTAACATATTTGGGGCCATTCAATATTCAATACTAACAAGTACAAATTTTCTCTTTTATTCCAACATATGACTCCATAATTTTTTCTAAGAAGATGAAATTTAAAAAGAAATATAAGGTTGTTTGGAACAGAAAAACAAAGTTTAGTCAAGCTGGATATGAAAATTCCAAAAATGTACCAGTGTTAAAATACTTTGGAGTTCTTTCTGAAAATTAACTCAGAGGTTCATGATGAGGAAGTAGCTCCATGCATAACTGGAGGTCCTGGAAGTCTTTCCCAGCTACCTCTTCATCCACCAGATGGGAACTGCTGTGGATGTTCAGAGTCATTGCCAAGAAGGTCCCAGCTGAGGGCCAGTGGGGTTGAAATGCAGCTCTCACACACTTGTCCAGGCATCAACCATGAAAAGAAACCTGGTTTTTCCTCTCCTTGTGCATAAAGCATCTCCAGATGGGTGGGCATTGTCTTCTCTCACTGCTTTGCATTATGAACTCCAGGAAAAATCAGGCATTTTGTGTGTTCTCGTGATTTCCCACTCATTACTTTGCAATTCCTGCTAAGGAATTTCAGTGTTGTACATTTTTGCTTTCTTCTAAGCTCCTTTTAAGTTCTTTGAGGTCAAACATCATGCCTTTCATTGCTTCTGTTCTTTGGTTGGCCACTAACAGCAGATGGCAAACTTATGGAATGATAAAAAGTTCAATGTCAGCTCAAAGTGTTGGACACTAGAAATTGGAGTCTTTAAGAGGTGACATCTATTTCACTCTTATTTTTGTAGTGTATTTTAGCTGTATTTGGGGTACTTTAAAATGTTCATGGAAAATGGAATTAACAGTTATGTTTATTTTAGGACAAAAATTTCTGAGATCAATACACAGTTGTAAAATGGATGCAACTGGAAGCCATTATGCTTAGTGAAATAAGCCAGTCCCCAAAGCACAAATACCGTATGTTCTCCCTATCTGTGGGAACCAATAGAGCGCCTAAAAGGTACTCTATAGGAGTGAGGTTGATATTTTGAGACTCGATGATTGTTTATGGCCTTTGTCTTGAATGTTGAAGAACAGTGTTTTTTTTTTCTTCATACTCTGTTGAACTCCTTACTAAGGGCAGAGTTAATCTTCTGAGTATAAAGTAAACTGAAAATAGATCTTTGTAAAAAAAAAAAAAAAAAAGAATGGAAATAGGGGAGGGAGGAGGAAGAAGGGTGGGCAGGAAATATCACTATGTTCCTGAATCTGTATATGTTAAATACATGACATTTTTATACCTTAAATAAAATTAAAAAGAAAACAAAACAGATTTTTGCCACTTAAAATAGAATTAAAACATTTTTTAAAAAAGAGAAAAACAAATACAGTTTTTCCATATTAGGCATTTTCTATGAATTTTTTGAAGATGCCATATATGTAATTCAAGATTAACTTCCCCCTCTTTAGCACCTTAAAGATGTCTCTGACTTCCATGGTTTCTGATGAGAAGTCAGATATCATTTTTAAAGCTGCTTCTCTGTAATGTAAATTATTTTCCTGGCTGCTTTAAATTTTATCTTCAGTTTGTAGACAGTTTGGCTTTGTATTGATCCTGCTTGTGATTTGCTGAGCTTCTTGGAACTGTGAGTTGATATTTTCCTAAATTATGTATTTATTTTATTTGAGAGGCAGAGAGAGGGAGAAGGAGAGAGAGGAAGGGAGAGGGGAGAATGGGAGAGAGAGGGAAAGCAGAGAAAGCTCCTATCTGTTGGTTCAATTCTCAAATGTCCACAATGGCTGGGGCTGGGCTACAGCAAATTGAGGAGCTGAAACCTTAATCCAGATCTCCCCTGTAGGTGGCAGGGACCCAGCTACTTAAACTATCACCTGCTGCCTCCCAAAGAACACATTAGCAGGAAGCTGGAATTGGGAGTAGAGACAGGACTCTAACCCGGGCACTCTGATGTGGATGCGTGTGTCCCAAAGGGTGCATAACTACTACATCAAATGCCTGCTGGTTGATATTTCTCAGAAAATGTGGGAAATATGTGTCCATTACTTTTTTTTTTCCTATTGATTGTTTGTCAGGTGTTCATGGCTTCAAATAAAATACCTGAGAGGAGGTGCTCCTGAAGGAAGGTGTATTTGGCTCACAGTTTTAGGGATTCACCGTCTGAGATCAGGCGGCCCATTGGTTTAGGCACAACACGAGGCTGGAGGACATTGAGGGGTGGATCTCACTGAGGGCAGGAAGCAGAGAGGGACACAGGAAGTGCGTTCTTCCTCACATCAGCTGTCTCCTTATGTAGCCACAGTGATTTGATCATGGGGGTTCTACTGTAAGGACCCATTGCTATCTAATAACACACATCCTTAATCCACCAACAGAGACTCTGAGCACCAAGACTTTAACCCATGAGCCTTTAGGAATACACAACTTGTTTTCTTCCTCCTCCTCCTCTCTCCTCTCCTCCTCCCCCTCCTCTTTCTCCACCTCTGCCTCCTTCTTCTTCTTTTAAGAGTTTATTTAAGAGGTAGAGTTACAGACAGACAGGGAGAGACAGAGAGGTCTTCTGGTTCACTTAAATGGCTACAATGGCTGGAGCTGGGCTGATCCAAAGCCAGGAGCCAGGAGTGTTTTTCAGGTCTCCCACGTGGATGCAAGGGTCCAAGTACTTGGGCCATCTTCTACTGCTTTCCCAGGCCATAGCAGAGAGTTGGATCAGAAGAGCAGCAGGGATACAAACTGGCACCCATATGGGATGCCGCTGACATAGGTGGAGGCCTAGTCCACTACACCACAGGGTTGGCCCCTCTTCTTTCTAGAAAGCAAAGAGAGGCACCAGTGTTGCGGTGTAAAGAGTGGACCCACAACTTGCAGTGCCAGTATCCAGTGTGGTTGCTGGTTCAAGTCCCAGCTGCTCATTTACAATCTAGTTCCCTGCTGGTGGCCTGAGAAAAGCGGCAGGAGATGGCCAAGTGCTTGGGCTGCTGCTATCCTTGTGGGAGACCTGGAGGAGGCTCTGGGTTCCTAGGTTTGGACTGGCCCAGCATTGCCCGTTTGGGGAATGGATTAGCAGTTGCTTCTTTCTTTCTCTTGCTCTCGCTCTGGCTTTTATATGGATGGATAAATCTTAGAAAAAAAGAATAAGCATAAAGACCCTAGTTTAGTGGGACTATAGACAATGGCCGTAAACAATAATTGAATGGAAAAATGACCATTTCATCCATATACAGTAAACTTTTTTTTTTTACAAAGTTATTTTATTCAACTTGGAAAATGATACAAATCCCTGGATATTTTGCTCTGGGGACGGGGGAGAGGAGTGGGCAGGAAGGAGGAGGAGGGCGCAGAGGCAAAGAAAGAGGTCACAGTGGCTGCCTGAGTCCTTGCCCGGGGGTGGGGGGGTGGGGGGGTGGGGCTCAGGTCCAGAGAAACACCACGGTGAGGAGGCCCAGGACGTAGGCTGCCACCAGCTTCTGTCCCAGGGACACGTGCAGGACCTGGGGCAGCTGGCTGCCCACTTCGTCCTGGAGCGGGAGCAGCAAGAAGGCCACAGACACCATGCCGGTCAGCAAGAAGAGCAGGAAGGAGCTGGTGGCCAGCTGCTGGCGGGGGGTCTCTTGGAAGGGTCTGGCCGTGGGGGCTGCTGTCCCGGCAGGGGGCCCCAGGGTGGGCAGTGGGTTGGGCTGTCCCTGCAGCTCAAGGGGGTGTGCTGGGGCTCTGAGAACCGAGGTGATGTCCTTGCGGCCCACCACTCGGCCATTGGCTCCCTCCTCCGACAGTTCAATGCGGAATCGGTCCCGGACGTCGTAGTGGCTGGGGATGGGGGCCACATGGCGAATCACTATGTCAATGCAGGACTGCGCCTTCACATAGCCCTCGGCCTCAAACACCGTGTATTTCGCAGGTGCTGTACACAGGACTCGGAAGCAAAGCGCAGTTCCTGTGGGGTTGTAGAGGGTCAGCAGCTGTCGGAGGCCGCTCCGCTGGTCCGCTCTGAATACTAGATCCAGGGGTAAGACGAGGACCGGGACAACCGGTCCCGAGGGAGGAGGGGCGCTCCGGGACCCCCGCCCAGGGGCCCCCGGACCCATCAGCTCCTGGTCCTGGGGCGCCCCTCGGCGCATGCAGGCTCTGGGCGGTCGGACATCCGAGGGCAGAACTAGGACAGGGCCTGGAGTCTAGGGCTGGGGACAAGATGCGACCGTGGGGCAGGGCCTGGACTTATGATGCCACCGCCGCCGCCTCGGAGCCCCGCTCGAGGGGGCCCCCGCTGACCCAGGCCCAGGTCCCACACACCTGTCCCCTTCCCAGTTTTGCCCCAGGTCCCCCTTCAGATCCTGCCCCAAACCCAACCTCGATGGCCACGCCCACCCCACTAAACCTGCCCCTCGGTGCTCCCAATCCCGGCCTTCTCGTCAGGCTGGGTGCGCGGGCCCAACAAGTCCCGCCCACCTCAGAAGGTCCCGCCCCTTCCGGGCGTTCCGAGGCTCCCGCCCCCCTCCTTCCGGCCAGACTCAGCCCGCTGTACAACTCTCCGGAGCTGCCTTTCACGCTCCCTGCCTTCCGACTCGCCTGTGTGCTCCCGACCCCTCCTCCCTGAGCTCGGCCCGCGTCTCGTCGGGCTTCCGGCTCCGAACGGCCGTTGGTGTTATGAGGCTCATCTGGTGGTCAAAACCCCTGCCAATCAGCTGGTAGCCCGACCAAGGTGGCCATATTCCCGCGGGTCCCTGTGTCTGCACTTCCGCCGTCCATATACAGTAAACTTTAATCACAGATCATCAAAACTATCGTAATATAGTATTCTAACCATTGGTTTCACAAAAGTATAATACAGTTTCACAAAATCATATTTGCAGTGATACTGATACACACAGGTATTTCATCTTTCTTTTCTTTTTAGTTCCCACATATTATGGAGAACATGCGGTATTTGTTTTTCTGTGTCCAGCTTATTTCAATCAACATGATGTCCTCCAGTTGCATCTATTTTGCTGTAAGTGGTAGAAATTCATTCTTTTCTATAGCTGAATAATCTTCCATTGTGCATGTATATATACACCACATTGTCTTTATCCATTCATCAGATGATGGACAGCTTTGTTGATTACAATTTTTGGCTACTGTGAACAGTGCTGCTATAAACATGGTGGTTCAGGTATCTCTTTGATACATTGTGTCCAAGTCTTTTGAGTTTATACTCAGTAGTGGAATTGCTAGATCATATGGCAAGAATATTTTTAGATTTTTTTAAAGATTTATTTTATTTATTTGAAGGTCAGAGTTACACAGAGAGAGAGAAGGAGGGGCAGAGAGAGAGAGAGAGAGGTCTTCCATCTGCTGGTTCACTCACAATTGGCTGCAAAGGTCGGAGCTGCACTAATCTGTGTCTCCCACATGGGTACAGAGGCCCAAGCACTTGGGCCATCTTCTATTCCTTTCCTAGGCCATAGCAGAGAGCTGGATTGGAAATGGAACAGCTGGGTCTCGAACTGGTGCCCATATGGGATGCTGGCACTGTAGGCAGCGGCTTTACCCGCTATGCCACAGCGTCGGCCCCATCTCTCTAGATTTTTAAAAAATCTCTAAAATGTGGCTGCACAGTGTACAGTGGCTGCACTAATGTACATTCCCACCAACAGTGTATAAGTATCCCCTTTGTGCACATCCTCGTTGGCATTTGTTATTCTCTGTGTTTTGGATTTTAGCCATTCTGACTAAATGAATGAAGTGATAGCTCATTGTGGTTTTGATTTGCATTTCCCTGATGGCTAGTGATATTGCTACATTTTTTATCATACATTTGTTGGCCTTACTCTTTTTGAGAACTGTCTTTAAAGTCCTTTACTCATTTTTGAACTGGATTGATTTTTTTTGTTTTTGAGTTTTTTTAAGCTGCTGGTATACTCGGGATATTAATCTTATACCAGATAAGGGATTTGCAAATATTTTTTCCCATTCTGTTGGATGTCTCTTCACTCTATTGTTTCCTTTTCTGTGCAAAAGCTTCTGAGTTTGATGTAGTCCCATTTGTTTGTTTTGCTTTTGTTGCCTGTGCTTTGGGGGCCTTGTCTAAGAAGTCACCCACTACACCAATGTCTTGCAGTGTTCCTCCCAAGTTTTCTTGCAAAAACTTCATAGTCTTTGATCCATCTTGAGTTGATTTTTGTATATGATGAGAGGTGTGTATCTAATTTCATTCTACCTATATAAATCCAGTTTCGCCCATACCATTTCTTGAAGAAACTATCCTTACTCCACTGTACCATCTGAGCACTTTTGTCAAAAATCAGTTAGCTGCATGTATATGAATTACTTTCTGGGCTCTCTATTCTGTTCCATTGATCTATGTATCAGGTTTTATGCCAGCACCATGCTGTTTTAATCACTATAGCTTTGTAGTATGCTTTGAAGTCAGATATTGTGATGCCCACAGATTGATTTTTCTTGTTCAGGATTGCTTTGGCTATTTTGGGTCTTTTGTGATTCTACAGTGATTTTAAGATTGATTTTTCTAGTTTTGTAAAAAATGTCATTGGTATTGTGATAGGGATTGCATTGAATCTATAGATTGCTGTAGGTAGTATAGACATTTTAATGATATTGCTTCTTCTAATCCATGAGCAAAGACTATCTTTCCAATTTTTGCATGTGCTTAATGAGTTCTTTCATCAATGTTTGATAATTTTCATTATAGAGATCTTTTACTTCTTTGATTAAATTTGTTCCTAAATATTTGATTTTTTTGTGGCTATTGTAAATGGGATTTCTTTCTTGATTTCTCTTTCTATGAATTTGTCATTAGCCTACAAAAAAGTTACTGTTTTTTGCTTGTTTATTTTGTAACTGGCAACTTAACTGAATTGGTTTATCAATTCTAACAGCTCTTTGGAGGACTGTTTAGGTTTTTCGATTTACAAGATCATGTTTTCTGCAAACATGGTTAATCTGACTTTCTCTTTCCCAATTCTGTTGCCCTTTATTTCTTTCTCTTCCCTAATTGTTCTCACTAAAACTTCTAATACTATATGGGATAAGAGTGGAGAAAGTGGACATCTTTGTCTTTTTCCAGATCTAAATGGAAATGCTTTCAGTTTTTTCTCATTCAGTATGATATTGGATATTGGTTTGTGATATATAGCCTTTATAATTTTCAGTAATATTTCTTCTTTACCTAATTTGTGTAAAGTTTTTTTTATTATGAAGGTGTTTTGAATCTTATCAAATATTTTCTCTGCATCTATTCATATGACCATATGGCTTTTGTCTTTCAGTCTGTTGATGTGATTTACATTCATTGATTTATATTTATTGATCTATGAATGTTGAACCACCCTTGCACTTCTGGGATAAATTCCACTTAATTGTGCTATATGATCCTTTTGATATGATTTTCAGTTCAATTTGCTAGTATTTTGTTGATCTTTGTATCTACATTCACTAAGAATGTAGATATGTAGTTTTCTTTTGGTGCGGTGTCTTTGTTTGGTTTTGGTACCAAAGTAATGCTGGCTTCATAAAAAGTTTGGCAGAATTCTGTCCTGTTTGATATTTTGGAATAGTTTAAAGAGTATTGGAGAATTCAATAGTAAAACCTTTAGGCTCCAGACTTTTCATTGATGAAAGACTTTTGATTACTGCTTCAATCTCGTTGCTTGTTATGGGTCTATTTAGGTCATCTGTATCTTGTTTTTTACTTTTTAAAGTTTTTATTTAATGAATGCAAATTTCATAGGTACAACTTTAGGAATATAGTGTTTCTTCCCGCCCTACTTTTGTCCCACCTCCTACTCCCTCTCCCATCCCATTCTTCATTAAGATTAATTTTTAATTAACTTCATATACAGAAGAAGAACTCTATACCAAGTAATGATTTCAACAGTTCACACACACAAACACACACACACACAAAACGTAAAAAGTATTGTTCGAGAAAAAATTTTGCAGTTAATTCTCATAGTACAACTCATTAAGGATAGAGGTCCTACATGGGGAGTAAGTGCACAGTGACTTCTGTTATTAATTTAACAATTAACACTTATTTATTATGTCAGTGATCACCCAAGGCTCTTGCTATGAGCTGTCAAGGCTATGGAAGACTTTTGTGACCACAAAGTCTGTCAGTATTTAGACGAGGCCATAAGCAAAGTAGAAGTTCTCTCCTCCCTTCAGAGAAAAGTACATCTTTCTGTGATGGCCCCTTCTTTCCACTGGGGTCTCACTCAAAGAGACCCTTCATGTAGAATATTTTTTGCCACCATCTGTATCTTGATTTAATCTTGATAGGTTGTATGAATCCAGGAATTTATCCATTTCTTCAGGGTTGTCCAGTTTAATTAGCATTTAGTTCTTCATAGTAGTTTCTTATGATCCTTTCTATTTCAGTGGGGTCAGTTGTGATGTCTCCTTTTTCATCTCTAATTTTATTTATTCAAGGTTTTTCTCTTTTTTTTCTTTGTTAATTTGGCTAAAGGTTTACCTATATTGTTTGTCTTCTCAAAAAACCAATTTTTGGTTTTGCTGGGGTTTGTTTTTAGTTTTGATTTCACTTATATCTGCTCTGATCCTTATTATTTTCTCACCTCCTGCTGATTTTGGGCTTGGCTTTTTCTTGCCTGCTGTAGCTCATAGGGATAGAAGTGTGGTTTTGATATTAACAAGGGTTTCCTTAGGTGTGTATCTTTGGCCCACAGGGAGTTCGGTGTCATTCTTCCTGGTGAGTGTGTTAGAGAAGGCCTTATTCTCTTTGCTTATGGAGGTAAGGGTGGCTGCCCCCTTGTTCTGTCGACAAGCCTGAGTGATGCTGGGGCTGTGGCATCAATTAGTGTGGCTCCAGGGCTGTGTGATATGGATGGCCCCTTCCTCAGGTCCTGGTAGGAGTGTTCAGCCAATGTTGTGCTTTATAACATTGACAGTGCTAGTCCTAGAGACTAGAAGATGTGCACTAAGGCCTGTTCCAGCCTTACGGAGTGTCTGCAAGATACACAGGAGATTTTAACTCTGGAGGGTATGAGTCCAGAGAAGTCAAACTCAGGTAGGTCCTTTTCTATGTCCACCAGGTAGATTCCATGGGCCCCAAGGAATTTAGAATAGATTGTTACTGTCCTGGTGTTGCAGGATATATTGGGATCATTACCCAGATCTCCTAGGTGAGAGCAGATTTTTTTTATGGGCTGTTTTTGGTGTTAGGCTCCAGAGCTAAGGTGAATCCCCTTGTTTCACATGCAGTGCTTGAGTGTGGCTCTGGGGATAAAGCTCAGGAACTTCCACAGCTGCAGGACGCAGGAGATCTGTCCTTTGCCCCACATGTTGCCCTGAAACTGACTATGATGTTGATGGGAGAGCAGAGAGCTGGTGTGTGACTTTTTGCTGCATAGTACAGCCCTCAGAGAGTGGGGGAGGGAAAGGAAGAATTATGGCTTCCCTGCTCCAAACCTGGCAGTTGCTCAGA